ACAGAGGGAACAGAGACGTGGGACCAGGGCAGACACAGACACTGACTGGACACGGGAACATAGCAGACAGGGGAGACAGCAACTAAGGAATACACAGAGACATAAACCATAAGAAAGAACTCTAACAAAAACCCAAAGACTAGAAATTATAAATAATATAATAAACTCAAAAACCCTGGGTCAACGACCCAGGCATCCTAACATCTCTAAGTACTTTGTTCATCTGAAGAACAGAATTTCAACACGAGTTTAAGGTTTAACACAACTATTGTCTTTTAAATAGTATTCCTTTTTAGGACACACTCAAAAATACTGTAAAATATCACTGATGAACGTCTCAGACGACCACATTTTACAGCAGTTTTAGACCAAACAGAAACCTTATAGGGCGATCCAAATATGTAAAGCAGCTGCTTCGCATAATTTAGTGTAGTTTGGAGCCAAAGAAGTCAGGATCGATGTTTAACGATTCATCTTGCCCTGTGAGAGTTTCAGTAGCAGAGAGCGTGCTGGCAGTTTCACTGCTGAGACTTTGTCATACGCAGCATCTGTCTAGGTGTGACTCAGTCATAGCTTCCTGCTTCTTCTGCTACTGCTGGCAGATGCCAGGGTCATGGCTTCTAGCTCATCAGGGATTTGAGGGGATCAGGAGTCACTGGGATCATAGAGCCATATGACAGTGTGTCTACTGTGCCTTCAGTATACTCATATTTAATAGCCATCCATTCATGCCCTAGTTTATAATGTAAAAGAGTGATTGTGCCTGTTTTGTACTGTAGAACAGTTCATCTGAAATTGCTCAACATTGTTGGATAGGTGATTTGTAACTGTGGTTTCTGGCTTTCCTGGTTTTACAGTTACACCCAGTATAAATAGCTACATCTCTAAACACGGGGTGTAGCTATAGCAGTTTAAGACAGCTCAGGCAGACAGCATCCTGCACCACTTACTGCATCACACCCTTTCTCAAATGCTCCACCCCCGCTTTAGCTGCCCAACTTAGGATTTTACAAGGCATACCTACACCCAACATCCACCTGTAGGTTCTGTATACACAGAAACTGAAGTCACATCATGTATGCTTCATCTACAGATTTTAGAAGTTATCAAAGCACCATCCATAACAGGACGATAAAATATCATTAAATGAATTGAGTTAATTATACCTTCCTATATAACTAGATATATTTTTAGTCGTCTTTATGCATCTTTATGGCTACTGTGAGTTGTACTGCCATATCCTGATTAATTTATCCCGTATTATTATTTTTACTAAAGTGTAATCAAATCAGTGCAAGTCGACCCTAAAACATCTGCACAAATCGAACGGTGCTCCATTCATTATAGTAGGTTTATGCATTTAGTTGTCAACAGAATCATTCAAAAAACAGCTTACTGTTAATGCCAGCACATTCATTTAACCAGCTTGTAATCAAAATTTTAAGATGTGCATATTGCAAATCTTATTTGTGTGCCAGTGCTGTGGCCTTGGTGATTTTTTATTAATTTTTTTTATTCCAGTTTTCAGCAGTTTGGTGAATTCATGGCTTAGAGACAATTCTTGTCTCAGTAAGGAATTCTAATGGCGAGGAATTCTAACAAACCAGATGCTCTGTCCAACTCACGGGAAAATATTTTAACAAGGTCTAACGGGAAGTATCCTTGTTACTTTATGCTTTCACAGCCGTAACTGGCAAAATCTTATCTTCCGCGTTACTACAACGTCCCCACAAATTCTTAACTGATGACAAACTGAGCCAATATACTTTTGTAAACAATACATTTCAGGAAAGCCTCAAAAAATACACATTTTCAATTCATAATCAACAGCTTTTGTTGGATATCAGTGGACTCATGATTAATTTAACTTCAAATATCGAATATCATCTGTCTTCTGGCCATTTCTTGGCTGCTGTGCACTTACAATTTGTGTGACTATGCACCTTCAGGACAGGGCCATCAATTTCATGGTAGCAGGTGCCACCCACCCATCCATTTTAACACTGATAAGGGCTCCACGTTTGCAAGCAGGAGGAGAGCTACAGCTCAATATGAGATAAATGTATTTAAGAAATACGTAATGTATCTCAAAGAAAATTGCACCTGATTTCTTTAAAAATGCAAATTCGATTCAAAAGTCATGATGCACGAGAGCCCTTCGATTGAGATTTTCATGGGGAACGTATAAGTTGTTATAAAGCATCACAAACGCCTTGTGAATACTGCACTGTAGAGGGTCTTTCTTAAACTGTCCAAAAGGGAAAACAAAAAGATATTTGTATATTCCAGATATTAACATGAAAAGATGCTGTGGAAGAAAAACATCTCTCTTCAGGATGTATATTTTTGTATCTTTTCTAAACGATTCCTATCAGTTGCAGAGTACATGCTAAGCAGTCGTCGTACGCACTGTATTATATTGTTTTACCACATCTGTTCTACCAGATAACACTGTTATTGATGACTGTGGTAATTAGACTGTGTGATGACTGTAGCCAGAAATAAATAAAGAGAAGCCAGTATAAAGACTTTCCAGTGCGAGTCTGTCTCTTCGAAAAGTAAGGATTAGAGATGGGCCTCCCTACTTCGGGGCCCCTTTCCTGTACATGCACACGGGTTGTTTAAGGACACAGTGAACTAGGCTACCCGATCTAGGGAAGGGGCCAGGGCAGGGGGAGCAGTGACGGGACGGCCAAGTGGAATAAACTTTCATGGAATCCTAAGAGCTCAAGCTGCTGGCTTAATGCTAGTGGGAGTAGAGGGGACTGGGAGAGGGAGAGGATTGGCTGATGTAAAAAGAAAGGGAGGAGCCACTTCCTCAGAAGGGAGACAGAGATTTATGGAGTCCGACGGCAGCAGGGAGAGAAAAAAAAGGACAAAGGTGCCGATGAATATGGGGTTAGCAAGTGGTTTCCAGTGTAACAGTTATTTAAAGTAAAGGTACAGTAAAGACGAGAGGCACTACAAAGCATCTCAGGTTTAACCCTTAGGAAATCTGAAACACAATATTCAAAAAAGACAGGCATCCATTTAGATTTTGCCCAAACAAAACTCCAGGCTGTAGCTCAGAGCAGAAAATATTTGGGTTGGTCCACTTATAGATGGTAACCGATCACACCTGCATTCCTGGGAGAAGGGAGCTGCCAACAGACATTCTCCTGTTGCCCCCCTCGCACCCCTTCTCCAATTTTCTCTCCCCTTGTTACCTTGTCTCCCTCTTCTGCGTTCCTCTCCTTCTGTTGCTCCCCTTTCTATATGAGTGTGTCTGGGTCCGGCTGGAGAGGCTTTGTCTGTGAACATTGGAGCCCTGACTGGCCCACGGGGGCCCGATCCATGAATACCCACACTGTGAGAGCCACTCTTTCACTTCACACCACTTTCTCTACTGGAATGCCTGAGCAGTGAGGTAAGAAACACACACACACACACACACACACACGGAAACAGTACAAGCACACATACACATTTTCTCACTTTCTCTCTCCCCCCACCCCCTACATGCGCACACATACGCACATGCACTATACTTTACACACAAACTGAGTGAGTCATGCAGTGATGAAAAGCCACTGTTTTGTGTGCGAACCCTCTCACCCTGGA